CAGACACATTCTGACAGCACTTCAGACAGCAGCTTTGTGCCCCGCCAGCTGCTTGTTCCATGCCTACCATGGTGTTTTTGTACCGGCAGCACTTCAGACAGCATTATGCTGTAGTCGGCAATCTTCCTTTTTGGTATAAAGAGGTACAGGGAGGGGGTGATGATGCTACTACTAGTCGAACGGTGGGACGGACGTGCAATTCAGTTTTTGGGCACGCATGCGGTGCTGCAGGGATTTTTAGGTGTACCTCTTCGGGCTCTTGCATACCTTTTTCTCGTCATATGTGTGCGTGTTCTTTAGATCCTCAGATGGCTCTAGCACTTTCGTGACCACGGGCTGAGAGTCTTTTGCTTTTGCTTTTTGGCGGTTAGCAACTGACATACGGTTTAATGTGAAGACAACAACAACAACAACAACATAATCAACACACACACACCATTTTCCCTGTCTGGAGCCCCCCCTCCAATTTCGAACTTTAACTTTCGAAGGACCAGCGGTTAGTTCCTGGCGTGAGAGGCAGACGAGCGCAGCGGGTAAGGTGACGGTTACCTTTGATCTCGCTCACACCAAGCCTAAGCATGGACACCGACTCGGCCGCTCGGCTAGCACCTGAAGAGGTAAGTGTGCTCTCGCTGGTGTTGTGAGAAGGTAGCGTCTGTAGCGGTGGTCTGTCTAAAGAACGAAGAAAACGGTGGTGTGTCTGTCCGATTGCCCGAAAACGTCCAGAACGTACCGGTTGCCTTACGACCAGCACTCCATGCCTGACGACACAAGGAGACAGCAATGCTACTGAGGCTCCGGTACGCGTGATTTTATTGCCCGCCCCTCTCTCCCTCGCTTGCTGCATCTCTCAGGTAGGGCGTCATCTCGGAGTGGACGTACAAAGCGGTCTCAGCATGCTGGAAGTGTCGGTGCGACAGGGGCTTGTTCCTCCAAATGAGTTGGAGAAAGAAGAGGAGGTGAGAGTCGTACGTCCTCTGTCGAGCAAATACAACCGCATACAAACGCTCTGCCGCGTACAGCCCAGCGAATATTTGATGCCGTTTTGAAGGGCCGTGCTGACTGCAAGTCTGCGTTGCCCACGAGCAAAATCGCCATATCTGTATCCAGGATGGAGGTATTTATATGCATATCCGTCTCCGCCTCCGCAGCAGCCGCAGTGGGTGCACAGCAGTGTACGCGTGGCGGTGGGGAAAGCTTGGGTTGTCTGATGAGGCACAGACTTACGGCAGCAGAGAGTTGCCGACTTCTTGCGGCAGAAAGTTCCGGGGTGTGACGTTCAAGTTTCCGGCGCGCTCAGCCCACACTCTGCACCTCTCCCCGCGCTCGGTGCTTCGTCTGTCTGGGTCTGTCGTTGCGTCTGCTGTCTCACTACGAAGGACCCGCTGTACAAGAGATACCTGGAACAGTTCAAAGACCCGCTCATCCTGCTGCTGTTGGGGTCGGCGGTGCTGAGCCTTCTCATCAAGCAGTACGACGACGCCGTCAGCATTTTCATGGCCGTCACGATCGTGGCAACGGTAAGTGGAACCAACGCGCAGCTTTTGGTCACTTCGTCCTATTCGTTGAGATGGTCCTGCCGCGAAGCGTAGGCGGCGGGCGTATCACGTGCGCGGTATTGTTGCTTTTCCAATCCTCTGGTACTTTTGCCAAGCGCCCTCAAACAGCTTATGTGTACACATTGACGGAAGAGAGTGCTGCATTCTTCTGGCGTTCAAGTCAAAGGCATGCACCGCAGTAGTGGGCCTCAGAGTTGGGATCCTTCTTTGCGACCACGGATTGGAGCTGCTCCTACCCGCCAGAAAATGCTATGCATACAAGCGCGCTGAATATACCTAACTTGTTCTACCTACCATTCTTTTCCAATGGTTGTGCCGTTTTGTCCACGGACACGCCGCTATGTCCACCACCAGCAGCAAGAGTACGAACCCGCCGTTTTCTGTGTGCGCAGTCTCTGCAGCTCTGATGAACCGCTTTCCGCTTGAAAGAAACTCGGGTAGGTCGACCAAATTGTGCGGTACACGTTACCCGCAGCCAAGGGAGGCGCTGTGGTGGCAGGGTGTACCTCTCGGACCGTTGTGTTTTTCGCATCCCCAGTACAAGACGGTGTTGTGGCAACAGTCTCGTCTTGTGTTGTGTCCACCCTCGACGGAAACGATTCTCCTGATGCCTCCCTCGGCCCTGAAATGTATCGCAGGTGGCGTTCGTGCAAGAGTACCGCTCGGAGCAGTCGCTCCAGGCGTTGACCACGCTCCTCCCTCCGCACGCTACCTGCCTTCGTGGGGGCAAGGTGAGGTGCTACAGTTTCGTTGCTCGAGGTGTAGGCTTGGGTGGCCTCTGACGGTACGTCTAAAGGCGTGCGGGCTTATGTGTTGGGCGCAGGCTAACCCGAAATAAGAGTACATTTTGCTCGAGAAATGCCTAGTAGACTGCAGAGGGTTTGACGTCTTGACAAAACGTTGACGGTGCGTTGTCGTTGTTGCCGTGGTGCACGTCTCGCGACGATCAGGCTTCGGACGTGATGGCGCGAGAGCTTGTCCCCGGAGACGTGGTGCTGGTAAAGAGCGGCGACCGCATCCCTGCAGACTGCCGCTTGGTTCAGGCTGCCGACCTGTTTGTCGACGAGTCGAGGTGCGCTATGTGTCATAGACCGGCCAGAGCTGACTGGCCTGATGGTTTGTTTCTGGTCGCTAGGAGCGCGCGTTGTACGGCGATTTGGAAGAACATACTTTGGTTCGAACGGTGCAAATATCATCGCAGCACAGCAGCAGCCCGTGCATGTACATGTTTTTTATCGTCATGACTTAAACCCCAGCGCTTACAGCATTCGTGCGTCGTACTCCAAACCAGTGATGCGTCTTTGTTACTGGTATGCCTGGGGTCATATCGGCTGTCGTGGCTTCCAGTGCTACGCACTGCTGTACCATGAAGGTGTCCAGGGCCAGCCCGCTTACACAGCAGCACTACCAGAAAGTCCCGAACCCACGTCGCCGACTATTGATAACGTTAACCCTAAGCCCTCGTTGAATCTACGAACTGGCTGACCTAGCATGTCGTGTCGTTTTCGTGTGGGCGACGCTAGTCGTTGGTTTGGTTAGCTTGACCAGAGACCCTAATCCTAACCCTATTCCCCATCGCAACCAACCCTAATCCAAATCCTAACCCTATCCCTATCCCTAACCCTAACCCTAAGCTTGACCGGAGAGGGCCACGCACGCGAGAAGGTAACCGCGGCCCTTGGTGCGGTGGCAAGGGGAGACGATCGACCAGACGGCGCCGGACCCGTGAGCCACGGACACAGAGCGATCCCGCTGGCGGAGTGCAAGAACATGGTGTTTATGGGGACCCTCGCTTGCGGTGGCCACGCGAAGGCGGTCGTCGTCGCTACAGGTGAGACTTTTCGATTTGGGGTGCCCCGAAAATCGTCAGGAGTGGGATGCGAAGGTTGCTTGATGGTGAGATGCGAAGGCTGCGTCTGGAGGTTGTGTATTTGCTACGGGGTGGATGAAGCTTTATCGGATTGTGTAACGTTGTGGAGGACGAGCGGCGCAAAGTCATGAACGCTCACCCGTGCCTGGGGGTTGTTTTATGCCACGGAATGGATGAAGCTTTTTTGGGAGTGTGTAAACGTTTTGGAGGACGAACGGCGCAACTTAATGAGGTTTCACCAGAGCGAAGGAGCAAAGTGAGGACGGAGGATGGGGTTCTTTGTGTGCGTGTGTTGGGAGACCGGTGACCAAGTTGGGCGATGTTCCGACGGCCGGCGCGCAGGGATGAAGACGGAGTTCGGCAAGACGTTCGAGGACATGAAGGACATCGAGACTCGGCGCACGCCGCTGCAGATCAAGATGGACGAGCTGGGGAAGCAGCTGAGCCTCCTCAGCTTCGGTATCATCGGAGTCATCGCGCTCGTGGGGGTGCTACAGGTTAGCTGCTATCCTGGTATCACCTCCTCAGCTGCGATTAATGACGTGCTGCTCCGTGGGCCTCGTGTCAGGCGCGACGCGCATGCATGGTGCAGGAGTAGAATGCGAGCTGACTGGGGACTATTAATCCTGTGGCAACCGGCAAGATCTGCCTGAAGAACGCCATCATTACGCCACCCCAAGCGCAGAGCGCGCCAGACATGGGTCGTCTGAGAAACGTTGCCACTTTCTGCTGTCAATTGCCATTCTTTTTCGTCCGTCAGGGCAAGAAGCTGCTGGACATGTTCAACATCGGGGTGTCTCTGGCCGTGGCCGCTATCCCAGAGGGCCTGCCCATCTGCGTGACGGTTACACTCGCTCTCGGGGTAATGCGAATGGCGAAGAGGTGGGTGCCCTTGCACTTGCATCCAAACTGAAGAGGGGGATATGCACATCCGCCGTTCGTTTGGTTTCTTTTGTCGAGGAGTAACTCATCCGACACGGCAGGGTTTCTTGTTGATGCATTTTCACAAGGAAAACGTTGGTATGTCGCAGGTCGACACTGCTCTTCGATGGTGAGACCCGTTATCCAACCCAGAGTAGCCAGCGCTCCCCCCCCCCCCCCCCCCCCCCCCCCCCCCCCCCCCCCCCCCCCCCCCCCCCCCCCCCCCCCCCCCCCCCCCNTTTTGTTTTTGTTTGCTCATCAAAATGTACGGGGTCGTGCCGCGTTCTTTCCCCCGCAGGAACGCGATCGTGAAACGGCTGCCGGCCGTTGAGGCGCTTGGGTGCGCGACCGTGATCTGCGCTGACAAGACCGGAACACTCACCCGCAACAAGATGACGGTGAAGGAAGTGGTGAGCGACAGGTTTGTATGCTCTCTGAGGCAGTTCCGTTGGTGTCTTCTTCCTCGCCGCAAACGCACGCTGCAAAATCGTGTTGTCGAGGGAACGTGTCGCAGCTGGCCTGCCTACGCCCGCTTGTTGGGCGCTCTTTTTGGAGAGTCCGGGCGAGCGGATGACGTGGGGTCGCTCGGAGACCTCCGGCCATGATAAGAGTAGTGGCTTTGCCACGACGGGCGTCCCCGCGGCTGCGTTGTGCCTGCTGATGGACAAGAACGGCGCCCGGGCAACGCGGAAAGCACAGGGTGTTCCTCAAGCGCCGACATGCTACGAACTAACGTACGCCATGACTCGAACGGAACCCCAAGGGTTTTGCTGTTTCTGCTTGTCGTTCACAGCGGTAGCAGTGCCAAGAACTCTGGTGGCCATGTGTCAGTCTGCCCACATGAAGGTTTCGTACGCATGGCTTGACACACACTGCTGTCCCGATTTTGGGCGTGCGTATCCTCTCATCCCCTGTCGCAGTTCGTGCTGTCGGAGGACGACGTGTTGGCGGTGGGCGGAGTTGGCTATGACCCTACGGGCGAGTTCACCGTGTGCGGGAGGGGCGTCACGCCCCAAAGCTGTCCCGCCGTGGCGTCTCTGCTGGAAGCGGCTTGTCTTTGCAACAACGCCTCCCTGGGGGACACGGCAGTCGGCGGGGCCAGAGCCTCAAGGCGAGTGTTTTTGTTGTTTTTTTCCTTGGGTGGACGGGCAGAGTCCAGTCCGTGCTCTCCTTAAGGTCTCACAGTTAATATTTGTACTGAAGGGCGATCTTTGCCCTTGGCGCCTTTCTTTTGCCGAAAGCGCACCCCGCGGCGGTGACCAGTAATGTGTGTGGTCTGGCGGCTTTTCGGCTCACGCGCTTGTTGCGGCCTTTGATGCTGTGTTTTACGTTCGCTCGCGCGCAGTGCTGACCCCGTGACCGCAGAGGACTCAGCAACGCGGGGACAGCCGACGGAGATCTGTCTCCTGGTTGCGGCGCAAAAGGTGCGAAGACCACCGTTCTGCCACATGTGTCTCCATGCTCTTGGTGGTGCCGTCTGTTGATGTGGTTGTCCGTTTTTCTTTCTTTTTTTCGTTGTCTTGACGGTGCTGTATGTTGATATCGTACACCAAGATTGTCATCTACTCATTTGTTTTCTCTGATTGCGAACAATTCAGTTTTGGAAGGACCATGTCTTGTGTCATCTATATGGGGATGCCGCACGTGTGTCTGTGGGTTGCAGGTGGCTGCAAATCGGAAACGATGGTAGGTAACACTCCCCCCTGCGCGACGATCTTGTGCTCAACCCTTCCTCGCACGAGCAGTTTGGAGTCCCAGATCCCCGACCAACGCACGAGCGCATCCACGAAGTCGCCTTCAGTTCCAGCAGGAAGAAAATGGAGGTATGACAAGTCTCGAGTTGTTACTGGGTTGCCTTTGCGTTGTAGATGGTTCGCCTGTGGTTGTTCAGTAGCCAAACGCCTCCGTTCGCGCCAATACCACACTACATGGGCCTGGAACGTTTGAAGTTGGAGTGTGTCATGGCGGACCTGTCGCTCGGAGCAACAATAGAGGGCTGTGGTTGTATCTCTGTGTTGGCTTTTCGGGTGTGGCCGTTCGGGTCCACCTTCCTGGAGAGCGCAAGTGCGTGGTGCTTGGCGAGAGATTTTACGCTCAGAGCTCTAGTATGCGTTCGACCCCCGCACCATCTCATAAACTCGTGGTTTGTACTATTACACACCGTTTCCGTTATTCGACACGCGCAGGTCCGTTGCCTCGACAGCGCCGGGAAGGAAACATGCTACGTGAAGGGGTCGGTGGAGGCCGTCTTGGACAATTGCACCATCTGCCAGGTGCAGCGAGGGTCCGCTGCCGCGGAGATGGGGGAGACGGAGCGGCGTCGGGTGCTGGACGCGGCCAGCGCGTTGGGGTCGAAGGGACGGAGGTACACCCGACAACCCTCTCATGCCATTGTGATCACTTGATAGACTATTTGTGTAGTGTGTCTAGGGTCGGATGCTACAACAGCATCGTCAGGCGTGGAAATCGCTTTATGTATGCCCGACGTATATCTTGTCCTTGTTCCCACTAGAGACTGTTTATGTGGAATCTGGAGTCGGCTGCTACAGCAGCATCGTCAGGCGTGGGACTCGTTGTGTGCGTACGTTTCAGAGGCAGTGTGTCGGGAGTTGACAGTACGTAGCGAAGGAGAGAAACAGGGCCCGCTGTGAATGCGTGATTTTCATCGAAGAAAGTTGCTCGTTGTTAGGTAAGTGTCTGGCCCGCCGGAATCACATCACGGTGAAGTGAAGATGAACGTCGAGCCTCCAGCTCTGGAGGGTGTCGCAGAAATGCCGCCGCTGAACCGTTTCCGCGTGTGTAACAATAGAAAACCGCGCGATCCGCAAGTTGGAGGAGAAAAATCCACCTGCTGCGGTATGGAATCGTTTCTGTGTAATGACTCAACTCGTCCCGTCCTATTGTACCCGACGCATGCCTGCCCCCCGCCCCCCCACAGAGTGATGGCTGTTGCGCGCGGGACACGCGCGGACTCCCTTTTTTTTTGTGGATTGGTCGGGATCATGGACCCGCCAAGGGCGAGCGCGATCATGTTTGCGGAAAGGATGCAGGTGCGTTCGTGTGATGATGGTGCGACGAGAATCGTGGACGTCTAGTCAGCCGGGTTCAGCCTCTTGATGCTGCAAAGCGGTGTGAAAAATTTTGCCTTTGTCCGAAAATTGTGGGCTGTTTGACGGCCGGGTTGAGCCTTTTGATGCCGCCAGGCGGTGTGCAAGCTTTCGCCGAAGTTCAGCTGTTGTCTTGCAAGTTTCGGCACAGTGGAAGTGTACGTGCCGTCAAGCGTCCTGTACGACCACCTCCGCGGAACGGTTGGCGAGAGTTGGAGAGCCACTTTCTTTTTGTTCCGCCTCACGCCCTCGCTGATGTACGACGGTGTGCTGTTGCTGTTGGACACAGGCGTGCTCGACAAGAATGTGCATGATAACGGGCGATGCGGAGGATACCGCGGTCGCGGTGGCTTCAGCTGTGGGGTTCTTCGACCCTTCGCACCACCGCACCCTGTCGGGTGCCGAGATCGAGAGCATGAGCACGTCAGAGCTTGAGGTGGGGCTCTCGCTGCACCGCGGCGCTAGTGTTTTTTCCCTCTCAATTTTGGTTTGCCTGCCAACAGCAACGGACAAGGATTGATCACCAGACCGCTTTGTGCCGTCTACGACACGAAAAAGCTCACACCCCCGCGATACCGTTGCTCATTTTTACATAGTCTCAACATGTTTCCAAACTTCGACGTAAGCACCGGTGACGAGGGAAAGGGCGGCTGGATCCTTCCCGCGATAAACTAATATTCAGCACGCACCGCAGGAGGAAAAATGGGGCACGAAAATAGATAAAAAGAGGAAGATAGCCCTGGTGTTTACCCCCTCCCGTGTGACCCTGGATGGTTGTAGTTGTACGAAAAGTACACTGAAAAGTGTAGTACTCTACTAAACTGAAACGTGTAGTACACGTCTCACCACGAAAAATGGGGGGCCTGTCGCCATAATTCAGTAGGACAAAACACACACACACATAACAGCCCTTGGTAGTTTCCATACGGCATGTTTCGGTGCGAAGGGTGGCATCCTGTAATGCCCCATATCTTCTGAGACCAGTTGTATGTTTTGGGCCCCCTGTTGACCCACAAGACTAGAGTTAACTCGTGGTGTGGTGTTGGGTGGTGTAGACGTTGTGTGGGCGTGTTGTCTTGTGTCGCACTTGTTCTTTTTGCTAGGATAGTAGATGCCGCTCTCGAACGGTTTGTCGAATCGTGGAGCACCACCTCGTGCTGGGCATCATTGGCTTCCTCCTTTGGCCTTTGCTGTTTTCCCCCTCTGTACATCTTGTTTGCTGTGCGGACAACTGCGTCACCCTCCGCCATTGGTAAAGCTGAGGTGATATCCAGCGTTGTGCTCTCGGCTGCATTGGCTTGACCTCAACCCCCGCTGACCTTGTGGAACATAGCCTGGGCCGGCGAAAACCCGTCCCGGCGTTTTGGGGGACGCGAGATCTATGGTCTACCGACAAGGGATATTAATTTACACGAGTACACCCCTGCGCCCCCTCACTGCCTTTTCCTTCCATGTTGTTGTGGACGCTTTTCCCTGCTAGGTTTTTGTCCACGAGGTTGCTGTGTTTTACCGGACCAGCCCTCGCCACAAGCTCAGCATCGTCAAGGCCCTCCAGGCGAGATAGATAAAGTGATCTCACCGTGACGTTCACTCACAACTGTTGTGCATGTGTCGTAAGGCTAAGCAAAGCACGCTCAACACCATCGTACTTACTCCAAGACGAAACATTGCAGTGACACGTTGAGTTAGGAGTCGTTTCGATCCGCGCGATGGATCTCAGAAGCAGAGGTGTGCGTATGCGAGCTGCTGCTGGCCGTGCAGCCGAGTCGGGCCACTTCCTGGTCCGGATAATTGTGCAACTGTAGCCGCGAATGGTCAATTTGAAGACCTCAAGTGTGATCGACCGGTTTGTTGTTTCGCAGGGCATCGGAGAGGTCGTGGTGATGACTGGAGACGGGGTTAATGACGCGCCCGCCCTGAAGGTGAAACGCTTGTGCTGCCATCGCAAAGTTGTCGGCGTGGGTGGGGATGTTTGTTGGTATGCACCACCGCCGTTGCGCATGCTTGGGTTGTTGCTGTGGTTCCTCCCTGGAGAAAATTCCCGACAAACAGGTGGAGGAGGCGTTCGCTGTCGACGCGGGGCACCCAGCACTCACGAGTGTGAACCCTGTCGATGCCGATCGTTGGTGTTTTGAGCAGAAGCCGCACACAGTGTTCCATTGCTTTAGTTATTGAACATGTTTTGTGCGCCGTGAAGGGACCAGAACTTTATCCGTTTGTGTCTCGTCGGTGATGCCGTGCCGCAAGCAGGCGGCCGACATCGGGGTGGCGATGGGTATTTCGGGCTCGGATGTCGCGAAGGAGGCTGCGGACATGATTTTGATGGATGACGACATCGCTACGATCACAGCGGCGATAGAGGAGGGGAAGGCAAGAGCACCTTTTTTTTCTTCGTACTGTACGCCATTGCAGCCGCATGCGGCGACAGAACATGAGTGTTGGCCTCGGGAGTTTTTTTTTTTGTTCGTAAAGGCCAAGGCGGGGGAACGGCCTGCACGATACAGTTTGACGCGCTTGACGTACACCGAGCGTCGGTGGGTGTGGTGCCTCGTGACAACCAACCGTAGACCGCCGTGTGAAATCGTAGATAGCACCCCATCCATGCTGGTCAAGGCTCACCTTCAATTTGACCGCGTCCTCCCTTCGGCGAGTATCTCAAATCAAGAAGAGCCCCACATATTGCCCCGCAAGTAGCATCGTTTGGATCAGGACCGGTAGGGCGGATCGGAGGCCAGGCAAGTGACGGCTCAGCCCGCCATATCCATGCTATTGTAGTAATCAATCCCTCGGTTGGTCTTGCCCCTTGCCCCCCTCCGAACGCGCGGAGCAGTCCATCTTCTATAACATCAAGAACTTCTTGACCTTCCAGCTGTCTACAGCCATGGCGGCGCTTTCGATCGTGGCTATCGCCACATGCATGGGGTTCAAGTGCCCCATCAACGCAATGCAGGTGCGCGCTTGGACTCGAGCTTCCTGGTGCAGCTGTCAAAGCCGTCTGTGTCGCGTCATGGGTTTCGGACAACGCAAGATTGCTCCGCGAACTACCCGACGTCCACCTATCTGCTGCGGTGGTTGCAGAAGAAAACCGTAGGCCAACGTAGAGAAACACATGCCCAGGGCATGGTTGTTTGGGATCACGGTGGTAAAGGTTGTCTTGATGCGTTGTTTGGCTCGTAGGAGTGGTCAACGTGTTGTCACAGTACGCTCTTGAGTCAGCTTCTTTTTGAGCCGCGAAAGGATCGAAAACCTTCTCACGAGCCCCTATTCTAGCATCCGCAACCCAGTCGACCGGTGCTCAATGCCCACCCCACGTCTTACTGCTCCACCGACGCTCAGATCCTGTGGATCAACATTATCATGGACGGGCCACCGGCCCAGTCCCTGGGCGTGGAGCCAGTTCACGGAGCCATTGTGAAGAGGCCTCCACGTAAGGCGGGGAACCCGGTGATATCGACCCGTCTCATGTGGCGCGTGGTTACGAGCGGGTGTCTCATCGTGATGGGGACTCTGTGGGTGTTCAGCCTGGGCATGACGCAGGTTGGACGATGAATGAGTTGTGGCTCACGCTCGTGTGTTTTATATCCTTGAAACTTGGCGAGCGAGCATGCCGTGGGCGTATTACGTAGGAGGAACCCCGGGCGTTTATTTTTTCGAGCGACAGATCTTGAGTGGGCGAAACTATGTGCTCAGACCACCTCTGGCATCTGGAGGGTCGTTCAACGCGTCTGTTGCGGACGTCACATGCGTGGAACGACTACTGTTTTTCAAGGCACGATGAGAACTTGGACGCTTCGGTTGGGCCGAACTGTAGGCAAAGCCGGCGGTTTGGTTGTGAGTATCCGTTGAGAATAGTACACCGTCTGAATTTTACGTGAGCATCTTGCCCGTATGGTACCGCCGTCAACCCCCCCCCCCCCCCCCCCCCCCCCCCCCCCCCCCCCCCCCCCCC